CACATGGAGAGAAAACATTCTCTCAGGCTTTCACAGAGAGCAAATTGGCCAAGCAATGGCTGTGACTCATCCACGTGGCTGACACTGACAAAGGATCTCCAAACTGTGGTACATGGTTTCAGGATAAGTCCGGAGGGGATTTGGCTGATACAAAAGCTACATTTCTTGTTGCATAGGTCTTGTTTTATCTTGGTTTTAACCATGCAGCAGAAAAGTATAAACACGAAGTATAGCCATATTAATATGCTGAGCTGTAAAAGGCTCAAGTCAACAACTTCTGACATTGTCAGTCTTACGGAAACTACTATTATGGACTACTGGACTATTTTGGAATAATTTGCTGAATTCACACACCTATAATATTTAAATGACAAAACTAAACAAAAAAAGGGGATACAAATGAACGACCATTTTGTATCTGTATATTCAATAGATATACAGCTACATTCTCTTAATTTAATGAATAGAAAGATTTGTTCTAATACTGTTTGTAAACAGGATATCATGTCTGCATCTTGTACAATGAATAACCACTAAGATAACAATATGCAATGTATTAACTGTTGAAACTGTCCTACTAATCGGATTTGAAACTGTCTCATTGCTATTTGTTTCTCAATAAAAATATGGAAAAAAAACCCCTCTCAGAATGTATCTTCATTAACATTATTTAAATTATGGACAATAAACATCAACAGTAGGAATCTTTTTTTTTTGGTGCCAGAGATTGAACTCAGGACCTTGCGCTTGCTAGGCAGAGCAATCTTTTTCTAGTATAGTTCAACACTTAGGGCTGGGAGATAGTTCAGCGGCACAAGTGCCTGCCTGACAAGCGCAAGGTCCTGAGTTCAATCCACTGTACTGCAAAAAAAAAAGAAAAAACCCCCCAAAAACCTAAAATGTTTTGTTCTGTCATAAAAAAAAAAAAAATCTGTTTAAACTATTCAGAAGGGTAAAGCTACGTAGTTCAAATACTTAAAAGTAGCAGAGGCTCATGCTATATAAACTGAAGTAACTTAAGAACAGCTAGCAAGTAACATGTACCTAGCAGTCAGAGAAGGACTACAGTGGCTTGACATAGCCCTGTTAGAAGTACATCACTCAGGAAATCCTCCAATTTATGATAACAAGTTTCTTTGAAAACTTATTTCTAGTCTATGTTGAGGAAAAACTTAGGAGAAGTGGTACTGTCTCAGATACTTTTCTCATTGCTGACATTTAATATCTGACACCCAAAGTTAAAGGAAGGATTTTTTTTTTTTTGTTCCTCGCATGCCTTCAGGGCACGTTTGGCCAGCGGGAGAGTTGTGAGGTTCGAACTCCAGCCACCTGAGGCCGACAGCTTTGCGGAAGCAGCCACTTAAAGGACTGAGCTAGGCCCAGGCCCCCTCAAAGTTAAAGGAAGATAGGCTTATTCAGCTCATAGTTTGTGGAGGTTTCAGCTCATAATTAGCTGGCTCCAAGGCAGCGTGGCGTGGCACAGGAGAAGAGTTCCCAGTGGGCAGAAGGCAGCAGAACAAGGAAAGGGAAGGAAGGTAAGCCCCCTTCTGTTCCTTGTCTTGTATCTCAGCTACCAGAATTAGGTAGATACATTGCAAAAACCAATAAGTGAACAGATTTAGTATCGGCCACCCTTAATCCTACATCCTTTAATCCCAGCACTGTACCATGAATCTGGATACTCTGGATCCAGCCAACCTCTGAAAAAGCCCCACCCATGTCTGCATGAGGCTTTTGGGGGGACGTTTAGACCCAAGCCCTAACAGGTGTTCTGTAGGCTGTGACCATTCTGCAGCAGCTTATTGGAGCAAATACTGCTTATTGCTTAAGAGCTCTGGTAATACAAAACATCTCGGTAAACAGAGTTATAGCATGGAGTCTGCTTATACAGGCAGCTCTATGATAAAGAGGAAAAGAAGAAGGAAAGTGCTCTGAAGGGAAATCAGTTGTTCTTTTAGGAGTTCTTTCAGTTGTTCATTCAACACTGAGACTAAGATACAAGTGTGATGGCACACGACCCCTTGTATCATGCCCATTTTTAAGACTTCATTGATTCAAAACTAGGTATTCCTGGGAATAGACATGATTCACTCGACATCATTCATTATACATCTATCTGCCATCTTTACAACTTCTTTGCCTAAGACAATGAGGCATACAGAAGACAGAACTTACGTTTGAGGAGTATAAAGGCCTGGTTTATTAATGTCCAGGGATCTTAACTCTTGCATAGAGAGGCGGCCAGCACCACCGGTGGAGACTGAACTGCGCTTCATGCTTACGACCTGGATTCATAAATTCAGTGTTAGAAAAATATTTCAGATGGAGATGGTATATTAAATAACAGCTATTATCTTTATCCTCAATAGAAAGGCAGCAAAGTTGTAGTATTTCTTCACCATCATCTTTCCCATGGGCTTTGGTGAGACAGGGTCTTGCTATGTAGTCGCAGGCTGACTTTGAACACACTATGTATCCCGGGCTGGCTTGAAACCATCCCGCCCTAGTCTACCCGGTGCTGGGCTTGCACTACCACACTGGGCCTCCCAAGGTTGTCCTACACGTTCATGTATCTTGAAGTCCTCACTTGCAAAGAATACCTATTTAAGTTCATTTTAAAGTGTCTATTTTGGGGAGCCAGGGAGATAGCTCATTAGAATAAGTGCTTGGCTAGTGCAAGGCCCTGAGTTCAAACCTCAGTATCACACATACACACACACACACACACACACACAAAGTGTCTTTTTTTTGGGGGGAGGGCGGGAACTGAACTCAGGACCTGGTGCTTGCCAGGCAGGCACTTGTACCACTGAGCTATACCCCCAGCCCCAAACTTCATTTTAAAGTATTCAACACACAGAAACACTTATTAACTCATCCTATACAAGGGAATGTATGAGGCACTGCAGGAGCTACAAAGATGAATGAGATATGATTCTTGCCTTCACAGGGTATCCACGGTAGCAACTGAATACGAACCCTGATCAATTACTGCTATTGGCTGTGTCCAATTCAAGGCTGCCCGACAAGAACTACATCAAGCTCCCTTATTTCCTCAACATGGCCCCTTCTTTGGCTTCAAAGAATGGAGCTACTCTGTTTTCCTTTCCTAAAGCCAGTCTCTCATGCTTTATGCTCATCTCATTGTTCCTCAGTTTGCATCAATTACTGTCCTTCTGTTTCCAATTTCCTCTAACAGGAGTCAGTCTTCCACGCTACAAAATGGGCTATAGATTAACTCCTTTTCAAAACAAATTAACATCTCATTCCTTTCACATTTACTTAAAAGGTTGTCTCATAACACATTCAAGATCAGCACATCTTTTGAGCTTGTAACCAAGGAGTTGAGATCAATTTTTATTTTGTCCTTTTGAGACAGGGTTTTGTTATGCAGTTCAACTGGCCTCGAACTCACTTGCAGTGACCTTCCTGCCTCAGCCTCCTGAACGCTGGGATTACACTATCATGCTTGGCTGAGACAGATGTTTAAAAGTTAGGATTTCTTCTAGAGAAAGGCTGCTTCTCCAACTGCCTCTTTCTGAGTGTAAAGCGCCACTCCCCTCAGCCCTGGCAACATGAAGCCAAGGCTTCCAGCTCTTTGGTCCACAGCTTGGCTAAATCTACATATGATTATTCCTGCACTTTGGTTCTATCCCTTCTATAAACTGGAGTGCTTCTGTGTCTTCCGAAATAGCTGCCATCCCAATTTGGTCAAATTGTAAACAAACTCATTTGCCAATTTTAGGGCATTTTTTTAGTATTCTTGGTTGCAGGTGGGTGAACGAAACCCGGAAACCCAGCCAGGAGGTCGCACTCAGACCGGAAGGAGCCCTGGCTTAGACTCTGTCTCCGTCGCCTTCTCGGGTTGGCCCCGGCTTCCAGGAAAGTGGACGCTTACAGTTCTCCTTTTCCTTCTCTGGGCACTCTTTGGCCTTCTACTCTGATTGCACTCTCTTGGTTTTGGCTCTTGTTTCTTCTCCTACACTTGCTCACCTACTTAACTTCTCCACCCTCCCCTGCTTTCGACTTCCACTTCCAATAACAGACTTCCAAGATTTAAGATGAAGACCTCGGACACTCCTGACACGGCCACTGAGAAGCCACACCAGACACGAGCAAAAACGCCTCACTTAGGTCCTCCTTCGGCCCTCCCTTCCCGCTCCTCTGCCTGGTTCCTCGCTCCAGCCTCCCCTCCCACCGGGGACCCTGGCCCTGCCTTCTCCCGCGGGAAATCCTGGATTCGGAATGCGGCGCCCTGCAGATTCGGCGCCAGCCTCTGACTGCCAACACGAACGCACGGCCCCTCACCCTCACTTTCCCCCCCGGGACAGTTTCGGAAGGAACAAACTGAACCCCGTGTCGCTCATTTACCTTCCTCCAGTTTACCGGCGAGACCCAGAGGCCGAATTTCTACCTGGTGGGAACCGATCCCTAGAGACAATAGCAGCGCCCCAAACAAGAGCTGCGGTCTCCGCCCGCCAAGGCGGTTTGAATTTTAAAATCTCCGCTGGCGCGTACGTCATGACGCACTCTGCGTCACGCATACGCAATTCCCGAGCGCCGCTCCTCGTCCCGGGAAGTCCCCGCGCGGGTCGCTCCTCGTCGCCTAGGAGACACACTGCCTTCTCTTGGGTGTTGTGAACGTCCTTTGCGAAGTTGGCCTGACCCTAGAGTCTAGAGGGCTCTAGTCGCCGAGGAATGGCCTGAGTGCGCCAAATCTCCCTGGGAATTGTTTTCCGTACAGCAACATGGCGGCGTCCATGTGTGGGACAAGACATTTCTTTGGCCAGGTTGTTTTTCATGACCGTGTTTAAAAGGATGCTGTTTTCGTGGTGAGAGTCTGGGAAGGCGATGTGCGCTTTTGGTGAGGCAGAGGCTGTTGGGTGTGGGCTCGTTCGGCTCCGAGGATCGCGCGGGTGAGGCCCCGCCCGGCTTCCGGCTGGAAATCGCGGACTCTGCACGGTCTCGCGGTTACTTGCGGCAAGTAAGGGAGACTCTTGAGGGGCTGGAGGGGGCCGGGGGGCAAGCAAGTAGGAGAAGGGTGCGTTAGGTGCGGCAGCGTACTCTGCTAAACTAGAGCACCTCTACCTCCTTGAGTTTGACCCCAGTGACAGACATTGCCCAACGCCTGGAGAGTGCCGGGAGCTCCCTAGAGCTTGGACTGTTGGGTCAGCAGCCGCCAGATAGAATTGTAACTTCTGGGCAAATTGACCTGAGGTTCAGTGTTCGTGTCTACGTTTCTAGATTTCACTTGCCATTACAGATACTCCGTACTTAGCGACCTGTCAGTTATACATTACAGCATTTCATGCAAGAGTTATGCGAATAAAGGAAAATCAAGTTGGAGTTTCCTTTGAGCATTTCTTTGTTGTGAAGACAATTCCTTATTTAGCGACCAGTTCATTTAAAGGAGCTAGGCTCAGCAATGGAACTCGGGTCTTAGAGGAAGAATGCCAGTAGCCTGATGTCGTTTAGACGTAGTCACTAAGCGTGTTGTGTGAATAAGCATAGCATTCATATGAAAGGACAAATGTCTTCAAAATATATATTATTTGTAGAATGTCTGATATTGGGGCAAAATCACCTGATTCTTTTTTGGATATGAAGTTGCTTTTTTGCCTTGACATCCAACAAGTTCATGGTTTGCCTGTTTTGATGCCAAGGGAGTGATTTGGAGCATTCCTTTGAGATCTGTTGATCGTGTATGATACAGTCTGGACAGCTGGGCTACGTGCCAGAAAAATTTACCAGTGCACGCTTTTTTTCTTTTTCTTTTTGCCGTACTGGGAATCATACTCGGGACCTGGTGCTTGCCAGGCAGGCACTTTTGACAGTGAGCTATACCCCTGGTCTTGTGTGTGCATGTTCTGTTAGGCTCACTTTTTTTTGCGGTACCAGGGATTGAACCCAGGATCCTGCGCTTGCCAGGCAAGCGCTTATTCTACTGAGCTATCTCCCCGGCCCAAGACTCACTTATTAGACCGTTTGCTTCCAACAGTTCCTTGCGTGATAATAGAACTAATTCATTTGGAGTTAAATTAATTCTCAGACATAAATTCTTTAGAAGTAATGTTGACTTTTGAAACTTTGATGTATGGAAATGCCTCATACAGATCCATGCTTTCTCTCAAAGTTTATATATACCTTTCACAGCCACAGGAAGCAATCGAATTACTTGATTTTCACTGTTATTCTTGGCTGTGTGTGTGTGTGTGTGTGTGTGTGTGTGTGTGTGTGTGTGTGTGTGTGGTTGGTTGGTTGGCTCAGCCTTCTCCGGGCACAGATTGGCGCCAGGAATTGAATTGAGGTCCTTGTGCGTGCCTAAACTTGCCTAAGCCGGCCCTTTAGTCCACTGAGCTATCTCACTGGCCCCGTGTGGTGGTTTTATGCGTTTAATTTTTGTCCCATGACCCTGGCTAGCGAGCGCCTCTCCGGCATACTTTATGTATCTTCTGCCCTCCAGGACGCTTACTGCAGAGGAGGAACGGTCAGGGCTCCATCAGTGCCAGGTTCACTGTCGAGGACACTCAGCATTTCCGGTGGTTTTTATGGAGCCAAACAAGTTCTTGGTTCTGTGATATCTAGCAATAGTTTAAGTTTTGTTGGTCCCCTGCAGCGACCTGCAGAAGCTCCTTCATGAATGAGCCGGAGTGGCACATTCAGGGCACAGCTTCCAGCAGTGCCAGCTGTGTGACCACTGTGACCTAGAAGAACTCATGGAAGCCACTAGGACACCAGGAAGGGGCGTGTGAGGGAGTACAGGAGTAGGCGCTCTGTGGACCTCCAGAGATCACATCTGGTTGCACCTGCTGGCATTGGTGATCACTTTCTATGTCACTGCTGCACCGTCAGATGCCCCGGATTTTCTGAGTGATTTTCATCTCTGTCTTTTCTCTCATGAGAGGATCAGTACTGCCTAAACCCAGCTGATGTGACGATTGGACGGTGGCTGCTGTCTTTGATTTTAAAGGATATTGGAGGCTGTGTGTTCTTAAGAAAAATAAATAATTTGCTTTGAATTATTTTGATGCTTTTCATGTCTAACACAGACATTCTCGGTCTAATGACCTGCCTGTTTGACAACTGCCTGGCCTTATGACTGAGGCGTGCTGTTTGGACTTGTGGCTCACTGCTCAGACTTGCAACTCATCTTTTTTTGGTACAGTTCTGTACATCTTATTTATAGAGCATTGGTATCTTTTTTTCTGTGGTATACTTTATTTATACAGTACTGTAAGTTTTGCTGATTGTACTGTACAATACAACACTGGAGTTTTAGGTGCTGTAATATATTACAGTACTGTGTGCAAGAGTTGATGCAAACGAAAGTCATCAAGTTGGAGTTTGCTTTATTTCTTCTGAATATTGAAATGTACATACTCTGTAAAACTCATTTGGTGACCAATTCAATTAAAACTCATTGCAGAAATGAAACTCGGTCGTTAAATGAGGAGCACAGGGTTTTCTCATCTCACGTGGTGACTGTGGAGGGGAACAAAGATCCCCAGGGTTGCTGGCACCCATAGCAGCATTTAGTTAGGCAGGCGTTTGGTGTGTCAGCGTTTTGTGTGCATTATCCCATTTAACTTTGTAAAATGAGATTTCATATGAAATGATGACTGGGAGCCTCAGTGGGATCAACTTTTCCATGCTTTTACTAATATTTGGA